AAGCCTCAAACACCCACCTTGTGCAGAGCTCTTGGAACTCTGCAAGGGTATTATGGAGGGCAAAGGGCTTTTGTGAGCTTGCTTTTACAAAGGTATCTGATGCAACTCAGGAAGCAAGGAAGTGCTAAGCCCAGGCCCTCACAGTTCTGGAAGAGCTCTCTTTATTGGCTCCATAGTGATTGCAACAGTGTGTGTTTAGCAGAGGAAATAGAAGAGAAATAGTCCAGATGATGTGATGCTATATATCAGGTGAAGTTGGGATGAACAGTATTCCAGAAGATTATTAAATCAGGGATTTTCACTGCAGATTGATAAATCTACAGATATTGGTCATTTTGCTCAGTTAATTATACTAATTGGACGTCCAGAAGACCATTTCCTGGAAGAACATTAGATTCCTTAGAAAGAAGCATCAGAGCAAGCTACCGAGAATGCTATATTGGAAATGGTAAATGAGCACAAAGTAGACACTGGAGGCTTTCTGTAAAAGAGCATACCGAGCCTGGAGCTGACGTCACCAGCTCCTCCCGGAAATGCGGAGATTTAGGGAATATGTTGTTAAGTTTGCAGAGCAGCTTCTCCACAGGGGTCCTGCTGGTCTGGACCTGATCTTCAAGTGTTCAATCTAATACAATTTGGGCTGCTCCAGTCTTGTGTTCTTTATGTGAAGAAATAGGTTTCTTTTTGAGGCCTTACAGACACCACAGTGCATTGCTGTTTAAAGGAAGGGTTTTGTCAAGAAGTGGAGTTAAAAGGAAAAATCTTACAGATAATTCCAATTTGCCATTTGATTAAAGATAGTTTTTTTTTTTTAAAGATTTTATTTATTTATTTGACAGAGAGGGAACACAAGCAGGGGGGAGTGGGAGAGGGAGCAGCAGACTCCCCGCGGAGCAGGGAGCCCGATATGGGGCTCGATCCCAGGACCCTGGGACCATGACCGGAGCCGAAGGCAGATGCTTAACGACTGAGCCACCCAGGCGCCCCAAGATAGTTATTTTAAAAAGGACTTCATGTTGAAAACCTGAATGGACTTAACTGAAAACTGAAAGCACACATGAAAATATATTAACATGTGCTAACAAAGTTTGGATTCTAAGCAAAAATACAACCAAGAATGAGGTTTTAAATACTTAGTGATGTTTAGCCAGTGTTAGAATTTGAATCCTGAAATGTAACTGTAGACAAATATAGCAGTATCTGTGTGCGAAAGAGGAAAAGCTTTGTTATTTTGAAATACTCGATATAAAAATATTAATTAGCGGGCGCCTGGGTGGCTCAGTCGGTTAAGCGTTTGCCTTTGGCTCAGGTCATGATCTCAGGGTCCTGGGATGGAGCCCCACATCAGGCTTCCTGCTCAGTAGAGTCTGCTTCTCTCTCTCTCCCTCTGCCCCTCTCCACTGCTCATTCTTTCTCTCAAATAAAATCCTTAAAAAACATATTAATTAGATTCAAACACCAGTCATAGTAGCCAAAAAAAATTCAGCATTACATTTGTCAATAAGGGAGAAGCTGTTTGATTACACACACTTTAAGTAAAACACATTTGAGCCATTCAAATTCTTGGTAATGACACTTGCTTCCACCTCTTGTCCGAACAGTTTCTAATGGTGATAGCTTGTTTTGAAGAGGTCATTATTTACAAGTCCTAATAATGGATCCAGCCAAGATCAAGAACTTCTCTCAGAGAATGGATTAAGTCAGTTGGAGGAAATAATGATTCTGATAATGCATGACATGCCAAGGAAACTTACAAAGGTCAGCTTTTCACAGGACACATGAAAATGATAAGACTGCATTCTTGTTTAACAACTTAGGCAGTACTGATACCAACTACATCAGAAATGACACCAGGCACATTCACTTTGGTGATGGACCACTTAAGCTACACAAAAGATCTGTCCTTTAGATTGGAGTTGAAAATGCAGAAGAGGATTTTGAAAAATATGAAAGGTGTAGAATACAAACCTCCCAAAAACTTTTGTGATATTGTAATATTGCATTGAACATTTTAGAAGAGCTAGGTGCTGAAAATCCCCAGTATTACCTAAATTGTTAAGCCACTAAAATGGATTTGATCCCAGCATCCAGTACTTGTTACATCCCAAGTGATTTTTTTTTTTTTTAAGATTTATTTGACACAGAGATCAGAGTGGCAGGCAGAGGGAAGAGGGAGAAGCAGACTCCCCGCTGAGCAGGGAGCCTGATGCGGGGCTCAATCCCAGGACCCCTGGATCATGACCTGAGCCAGAGGCAGCCACCCAACCAACTGAGCCATCCAGGCGCCCTCAAATGGTTTCCTGAGACCCAAGTTGGATACTTTAGTTGGTTTTCCTATGAAAAACTTGGGTATATTGGAATTCCTAATTAATCCAAATGCAAGTCCTGGCTGCTATAATTTGATTGCTGTTTTCAACCACTGTGGAAGGGTAGGAAGGCACTATTCTGCTTTTGCAAGAAAAAATATGACGAATGGTTATTATTTTACTTTTTAAAGATTTTATTCATTTATTTGACAGAGACACAGCGAGAGAGGGAACACAAGCAGGGGGAGTGGGAGAGGGAGAAGCAGGCCTCCCGCTAAGCAGGGAGCCCGACGCAGGGCTCGATCCCAGTACCCCGGGATCATGACCAGAGCCGAAGGCAGACGCTTAACGACTGAGCCACCCAGGTGCCCCTCGAATGGTATTATTTTAATCACTGTAGTGTCTCACCTGCATCTGAAGGCCAAATTGTGTTGAAAGCAGTGTACGTACTCTTCTACCAGAGATAAGACACAGTAGAACTGGCTTTTCCCCTCCATGAGAATCCCATTTAGAAAGTGACGAAGATGGTGGTGGTGATGACAATGATAGAGAATGAAAACTATGCACCCCAACTAATCTAAGCCCTTGAAGCCATAGAGAAGAGACTTCCCCGCTGGTGGCATTTATTGAAGCCATGAAATTATCTACCACATTAAAACAAGTTTGAGCTAGCAAATGTAAATCCTTCAAGAGATGTTAACTTGTGCAGTATTTGAAGTGAGACACAATGAAAACTTTAATAGAAATGTCTCAATTCATTTATAGTCTTGAATTACAAGACTATATATTATATCAGAACATAAAAATGTTACATTTATGAAAGTTCAGATACCTCATATAGAAAGGTCGAAAGGACAAAGATTGTATATAAATAACCTTTACTACTGTCCCTTAATTAATGCATTGTATCTATATTTCTGACCATCAGTATCTGATAACTGAGTTTTTTCAGTGAACTCCAAGCCTCTTCCAGTGTCCCCTAGTGCCCAGTCTGGGCGGTGGTGGTTTCCATGGTACAGATTGCAAAGATGGTTGGCTGGCCTTTCTGGCTCCTTGCAACTATTGAATCTTTACCGGTCTCCTTTCTGGACACTTGCTCTCCACTTGAATTAACCATTCCTCTCTCTGTTCCCATGACATTTGGTTGTATCGGTCTTCTGTTAGAGCATTTTGTTAGTGACTTGTGTATACAGTTCACCTTTCTGAGGCATAGGGACCCAGTATCCTCTTGACATCTAGCAGCTGTTAACTAAAAAATCTGTTACTGCCATGACTGCCCCAAGGACCATCCAGGGCTTATAATTTTCCTCCTATTCAATATGAGTGGATGCTCACATGTGCCACTGTGTAGAATTTTTGTACAAGGTTGGAAAAATGACAATATCATTTACAGAAAAACCCCAAAACTCCAAACTCCTTCCACCCCTCAAATGCTGGAAACTGATCTCCTAAACACGAAGGAGAGTAGCTTATCAAGGCTTTGGTGCCATCTTGGGGACATTTGTTGGATTACAACTGATTTTTGCCTTTTATTTATTCTGAGTGGCTTTACTAGTAAATATGAGGATCCTGTGTCCATAATACTTTGTAATTATTCGTAAGAGCTTTTTGATCTAATTCACATACCGTACAGTGCATTCTTTTAAAATATACACAATCCAGTGATTTTTAGTATCTTTAGTTATACAACCATCATCGCAATTTTAGACATTTTTATCACCCTAGAAAGGCCCATACCCTTTGGCTCTTGCTCCCAATCCATCCATTTTGCCCTGCTTTCTGTCTTTATAGAATTGCCTATTTTGGGATATTTCTTATAAATGGAATAATGCAATGTGCCATTTTGTGTCTTGCTGCTCTGTTTTCAAGGGTCATCTGCGTTGTAGCATGTCTCAGTGCTTATTCCTTTTATAAATGAATTTGATAGTCCCTTTGATAGGTATGCCCTAATCTATCCATTCATCAGTCGGGACACTTGGGTTTGTTGCCACCTCTTGGCTCTTGTGAACAATGCTCCTATAAATATTTGTGTACAAGTTTCTGAGTGGGTATGTTTTCATTTCCCTTTGGTATTATATACGTTAAGAGTGGAATTTCTGGTTCAAATGGTAATCCTATGCTTAACTTTTCAACAAATTGCCAGACTTTTTCAAAATGGCTGTGCCATTTTCTATTACCAGCAATATAATGTTCTGACTGTATTTTTGTATATTTCAAGAAAACTTGTATTGATAAAATGCTTTGGATTCAGTAATTTTTTCAATTGTTGTTAAAAATTTAGCAAGTATAGCAGTATGTGCTCACTATAGAAAAAATGCCATGGAATTGAAAATGATTACTCCACCATCCAGAAATCTAGTTGTACATTTATTTCTAGAATTTTATGTACATACACATATATTTTAAGTTTTAGGAAAGGATTTTATTACATTTTCCCAGGTCAGTATTGGCAGTGTCCTGTGAATTTGTATTTCATTAATTAAAACAGTATCTAAATTTAAAAAAGGCATTACCTGGTCTGTAAGATGTTTTCTTTACTCTTTGTATCCAGATGGTGCTTGGTGTATACCTGGGTTCATGGTCCCTGCAGCCCGTAGGCTGCTGGCTTAGCCTTTACTTCTTTCTTACATAAAAAGCTAAATTACTGACAGTTTGGGGTAAGATGGAATGATTTGTTCAATGTAACTTTTTTTTAAAGCACTCACTGAAAATGATCGAGACAGCCAGTCACCATTAAAGAATCCTCTATTGTCGACGTCAAGACCCCTGGTTTTTGGGAAGTCAAACAGTATGTACCTCTCTTCGTTATCTTCCAGCAGGCACATGCTGCAATCGTTAGCAATTTCGCAGCTCTTAGAAGAGGACTTACCTAGTTCCCTCCCTCCTGTGAATCAACAGGCCACTGCTTTCAGAGGCCAGAAGCCTTTTAAGTTGCAGTGTACTGGCTGACTGCCCCCCGCCACCACCATATTTATTCCTCTAGCCTAAGGTTTCAGGGATTCTCTTGTAGCAAGAAGTCACCCAGCCACCACACTCCATTCAGTGAGTTGTAGATCAAACTCTCCAATATGTAATCTCTATTTTCAGTTTGTGTGTGCAATTTGCTTGGTGGAATTCCTCCCTTACCACCTGGTTCTACTGATGTTCCTTTTTGCTTTCACTGAATTTTAGCTTAAAGTTTATATTGTGTTTCCTGTGTCTCCAGGTGGTGCAACTGATTATCAGAAACAGCTGAAGCAAATGATTAAGGATTTAGCCAAAGAAAAAGATAAAACAGATAAAGAGTTGCCCAAAATGAGCCAGGTATGGACTAAGTGCAGAGTTAAAGGTTTTGCCAAATGATTTGTTCAGAGGTAAGCTTGATAGTTAAGCTGGGGCCCCTCAACCGCCAAAGCCATAATCAAAGGATCTTCTAACTTCAGGAGCTTAATGTTGTGGTGATTAAAAGGGAACTATTTAAACTGTGACCCATTCAGATACACTAGATATTCGAAACTCCTTACAGCAGGAGGCTGTGCCACATCCTATCAAGTTTCTATATCCTACTCCTATATTCACTTAGGTTGTGATGATTTATTGCCTAGAGTTGATAGCATTTGGGGGTAGGGGGGCACTGTGGACACAGCATTCTTCCCTTAGAAGGGATTACTGTTCTCTCTTCAGTTTCTTAAAAATCATTGGCTATATAATATACAGTACTGGTAAGGCTCTTCAAAACCTTTGAGCAGTATCTAGCCTACATTGAAGTGCCATGATGGGGCTAGGTTTTTATTTGAAAAAGATTCCTCCCAAAGTTTGTGAAATGTAGGCTTCAAGTTGGAAATGTTCCTTTATTAAAGGATTTCATTCTTTTTGGTGCTAATGTGTACTGCGAGCCTTCACGAGCGGAATTTAGCACGCAGTGTTTCTTGGTCTTTTTTGACTACAGAATATGTGGCATTAACACTTCCTTGAGTATTTCAGAAGTGTTGGGGAGTTTCAAGTTTTCATTCTACCTCTTGGATATAGTCACATTCCAATGCTGTTGATCAATTACACCTCAATTTAAAAAAGTCAAATCTCATCCCCCCGAGCCACCAGTACTAACATTCTGATATACGTGATGACAGTTTTTGCTATGAACAAAAATAGGCTGTCCTAACACCTTGCTTTCATTTACTTCAAAATCATGGAGATCTCTCCTAAATTAGTTCTTAACCATGTCCCTATTCCCAGAGTAAATATATAGCTAAGTCCCACTGGAACTTTCATCACATTACATTCAGATTCTCCCAGCTGAGCAGCCATGTGGCTATAACTTGAAAAAGCATCAGGCATCACTGTTTTGTTTCATTTTATGGCTTTTAGTTACCCCATCGTATTCCTATCAGATGAACAAGCTATAATTTTATTTAGTCATAGTATTTAAGCCGTTTCTAACTTTGTTCCTATTGTAAATCCTAGATTAAACACCATTATAAACAAGTCTCTCTAGCTTTTGGATCCATTTCTACAGACTGATTTGCTGGATTAAAGGGTGCACACCTTTCTGAGTATCGCTCTCTAGACAAATAGCACACTTTGAAGTGTGTGGTGAAAGTCCCTGGAGTCACTGTTAGTAGTATGTTCTCAGGGTAGAAGGGCCAACTGCCTTTTCTTGTAATCTGCTTCAAAGAGTACGATGTGGTTTTCTCTAAGAACTTAGTATGAAGTTTAAAAAAATGCATTATACTTCCATCCTGGTTATGCTGCTATATGTACTTTTAATTCCAGAGAGAATTTATCCAGTTCTGTAAAACTCTGTACAGTATGTTCCATGAAGATCCAGAAGAAAACGATTTGTATCAAGCCATCGCCACGGTAACCACTCTGCTGCTGCAGATCGGGGAAGTGGGGCAGCGAGGCAGCAGCTCTGGAAGCTGCTCCCAGGAAGGCGGGGAGGAGCTGCGGGCTCCAGCTCTTTCTCCAGAGCAGGACTCGGTTTTTGCAGACACCAGCCCTGGCAAGATTGCCCAGGACTCCCAGACATTTCCTGAAGAGGCAGAAGGGGACTGGACTGTGTCCCTTGAGCATATTTTAGCTTCACTTCTGACTGAACAGTCATTAGTCAACTTTTTTGAAAAGCCGCTGGACATTAAATCCAAACTTGAAAATGCCAAGATCAATCAGTACAGTCTCAAAACTCTGGAAATGAGCCGCCAATCACAGCCTGAACTCAAGCTGAGTAACCTGTAGCAGGAGAGCAGTTTGCAGAGACGAGTCTGCCATACCAAAGCACGGAACAGTTTTGTGGGTTGTCAGCCCTAAAATCCAGATTTTAATTGAATTCGAGTGTATTTTACAAGCTGGGTATCTGGATAAGCAGCCTGACAGCCACAGCTGTGGCCAGGGGAATTGATGCAACCCTCAAGCATTTCTATTAAGAGAATTATTAGTTGGATATTACAGTGCTATAGGGTATCCATACATTAGTTCCCTTGATGCTGTGACTTGCAATTTCACTTTTATTATCAGATTTCCTGAAATTTCAGGGCACTTCTGCTGTGATGCTAGTATGATTTCGTTCTCAGATGGAACAGAAGAGTCAAACTGTATCATACCAAACCAGACAAAAGCCCAAGCTCTCATTTTTCACTTGGATAATGGGGGAGAGGTCACAAATCAAGTTCACTTTCAAGATCCAAGAGCCACTATCTGTGCAATTGTATTTGGCTTTTTTTGCACTAATTTTGTTTCAATGCTGGTAATTGAAACCATTTTAATATATTTGGTTGTATTCACTTTGTCCTTACAAAAATGTTGTGTACAAACCATGCTTTCATTGTTGGCCTCCCAAGTTTTTTAATAAATAAATTTTTGTATTGACTCGGTTCTTATAATTTATACTCGTGTCTAGAGGGATCTCTTGCCACTCTCCTCCGTGAATTGTGCAATACACGGTAGGTGGTCCTTAACCCCCACTGCTTCTACTACCGTCACCCCTGGGGCTTCAAAAAGAGGGCCCTCTTTAGAGCAGCACTCAGTATGTCAGGGGTGTTAAGAATCCCTGCCACACTGCTTTCAGGCTGAATTTAGCTGATTTTTACCTCCCCCCCCCGCCCGAGCTTTAGGTCCATGTAAACTGGGATTAAAAACACTTCAGGGGGCTGTTACAAAAAGGTCAGCTGTACATATGAATTGTACACCTAAGCCATATATATGGTTACCCATCAAAAATCAATTAGACTCTTTTATACCTTTTGACAAGCATAATATAAACAGAAGCTCAGGGACATACTATCAAATACAGTTCATTAAATCTATCAATTACATCATTTAAACTTGTTCAAATGTGAAAGGTGGCCAGTGGTAATTGAGTTCTACATGCCAGTCTCTAGAAAATGTTCCTTGGAATCAACAGTATACCTCCAATGTCCCAGGTACCTAAAAAGTGTTCCCAGGCCAGCACATCACCTTTAAAAACATGTTAGGCTCTACCCAAATACTCAGAAATCCCAGGGGCTGGGGAGAAGGGGCACAGGCATGCCATTTAGGAAAAGTTGTCCAAACGATCCTATGTAACTGGAACTGCATAGAGATACTACAGTTGACTCTCGTATTACATGGGTCCGCTTACATGTGGATTTTTTTTGATAGAGTACTGTAAATATATTTTCTGATTTAATTATTTTTTCTCTAGCTTGCTTTATTGGTAAATTTTGGGTAGTTGACTATAATCTGTGCCTCTAACCCTCATGTTCTTCAAGAGTCAACTGTATACTGCAACTAAAAAAGGAAAACCAAAACACGAAGCAGTTTTATACCTTTATTTGACAATCAGCGGTTAGTTCTCATCCACATTAACTGTCTGCAGATCTGCAAAAGAGACAGCCAGTCAACTTCCATACCCACACCTCACACTTTTAACATTCCAAAAACCTTTTCTTGAAGTAAACGGTTAGGCTAGTATTCCATGACCTTTTTACAACCCAGATATGGACCTGTTTTGTATCTTCCTCCATTGCCCCACAGCCTAACACGAAGGTTTACTGATTATGCCTGTTACCCATTTCCCTATTAGAAGGATGCTGGGTATATAGACGCACAATTAAGTATTTGAGACAGACGAATTCGGGTTCTAATGGGTAAGGATGCTTTTCTAATCCAAACAGCAGCTTTGTAGGATGGAGTAAAACTTACTTTTGAAAGTGGTGACAGGTACATAGGTAACCAGTGTGTAGAGCTTGTTTGGTGAATCTTCATCCTCGTTACGTTTTCTGGACAACCGCACACGGATACGGTATGGAACATTCCTAATAAAAATATGAACGTGCTGCTCAAGTCAATGCTTCCTATCAAGAAAATAGCTGCCAACAGTATTGACGCCTCCTATCCCCACATCTTTAACATGCTTCTAATGCTCTGTCCTTTATGTGCATCTGCTCAGGCGCTACAGGCCCAATTCCCTGGAAAATATACATCCCCACAGGTGGACGTTAAATGCTACCATCTCAGGATATATACTGGTCTTAGCAGGCAGCAACCACTGATACTCAACCTATGCAGAAACACAGGCTCAAACATGCTAGGTCTTTCCCCTCTTATCACCAACACCCACATCGTGGTTACAGGATTTATAGTCAATGTAATTTTGCAGAAACACCACTCTGCAGGCTACATTCAACAGAGAAGACTGTTCCGTTCCCCTCCCTCATACACACAAGCCTCTCCTCTCACCAACCACAGCAGCATTACGGTGGCCTATCTCCTTTAATTGGTCTGAGGACACAAAGCGTTCCAAAACTCAGGACTCCTCTTGGCTTTTGTGACACCACTTCCCACCTCCATCATCATCATCTTAAGGGACCTCTTTGGCCACTCCTTTATCAGACACCTCTCTACAAAGAATGCTCACTGCTAGCACGGCAGGGCTGAATCTCAGGTCTCATTCCAGTGATGAAATACCACACAGATGCAAACAGTTGTGTGTCCCCCCCCACCCTGGCCTCCTGATCACCTAGGTCTACTCCAGCACCTTACATCACCCTCCACAGCGAAAAGCACACCCCTTGGCACTACTGACAACTGGGTCGGGGGTGTTGTGGGGGTGTTGCCTTGTGCACCGTGGGATGTGTAGCAGAGCCCCTGACCTGTGGGAATCCCCACGAATGACACCAAAGATGCCCAGCCCCCCAATCAGGGAGGGTGGGCAAAACTGCCCACTGTTAAAAACCACTGTGCCAATTATTCCCCATTATGTCTAGATGCCACATGGTCTATCCCCGTCCTAACTCTCTGTCCTCATTCACTGTTCAAGTCACTTATTCTAGTCCACCTTCACCACCTATTCCCAGCTCACACCAAATTTGTTCTTCATGCAATGCTCTTACTCAGCCCTCACACTGCTGGCTCCTTCATCACCTGGGTTTCTGTTCACATGCCATGTCAAAGGGCTTCCCTGCAGATGCTACTCCACCCTTTGAGCCATCATCATTTTAAGGAAATACTTCCATATGCATTAGCTAATTACTGAACTTACAGAAACTGTGCAGAGTTGGTGAAAAGCTAGTGTAATTATCAACGTTTTCTAAAAAAAATCTGTTAACAAAATAATTTTAGCACCTTATTCCTTTGGCCCAGACAGCTTTGTTGAGCCTGGTGTCAATGCGCACATCTGGAGTTCCCATCTCCTTCATGGCAAATTTTCGGATCTCTTTGAGTGCCCGAGGGGCACGCTTCTTGAAACCCCTGAGATTCAAAGTCAATAAATGAATTAAATAAGCACAAAATTAAATGAAATATGTAACGCGCTGTCCTATTTTCATAAAACAAAATCTAAACCAAACCTTAAGGTAGGAATAATCCCCTTTTCCACTACTGTATAATGCCCAGCAGCTGATATTAATACTGGGGACACAGAAAATGCACAATCCCCTTTCAGTGATATGGGATAGGAGCTCTGCAGATGATCCTAAGAGATGCTGATAGGATATGCTTGAACATAAAATACACATACTATAAAAGTGTCTTCAGATCAAAATATAGATTGTTATATCTTAAGAGATGGCATGTTTTTGAAGATCATTCAATACTAATTCAAAGGTTATTAACTTGGTCTTGGCTAAAATTGTACACATTTCCTCTTGACAACAGTTAATTCTATGAAGCTGTCGGCATGTGTCAGACACTGTCATTAACTCATGTCTGTTCCAACACTTAAATACTATTAACTTGTTGTTTACATGAGGGTACATAAATTCATTTGAATTTCATGTTTTTAAACAATGTGAAAAAGCCAAAACTTTGCTACAGGCTGAAATGGTCAAGCATTTGGACAAGTGAAGGCCATTTCCAGGGGTGGGGGAAAGACCCAAGTCTAAAAAGGTGTCGCCACCACGCAGGACTGTGAAGGTCAGAGAAGGGGCCAGGTCAACCATTCACCTCTGTAACCCAATGCAGGGCCCGGACATACTAGGTGTTCCACTTTTGTTAGATGGAGTGAATTTTATGAACTTCAAGGAAAGTAACACACAGAGCATGCTAGAGTTAAACATTCTGCTCTGAAATCGTCAGTGATTTCACATGCCTACGAAAGATGACTGCCTTCCCACCCCACTCTGCCTCTTCTCTTACCGTCTCCCCCTCTTCCCTTTGCTCTACCCTCATCAGTCTCCTTGCTATTTTTAGAACCTATCAAGCAAGCTCAGTTCATTCACTTAAACACTTGACCATCTAGAAATGCCTGAAATAACAGCAGTAGGTCCAACAGACAAAATCCAGTTATTCAGGTAGCTTATATGCAGGTGATACATGGAGTACATGAGATAGTATCAAGTACTATAGAGAAAAATAAACCAGGGAAGAGAGAGAGGGAACATGAGGGAAAGGGAATGCAGGTTTAAATAAGATGGCTAAGATGATACTGGAGTTAAGATCTGCAGATCATGAGGGCAGCCATTTAGACATCTGTGAGAAAAGCATTCAGGCAGAAGAAAAAAGTAAAAAAACCAGCTACCCCGAATCAGGTACATGCCTGGTATGATTAAGAAAATAAGTAGCCAGCTCATGTGGAATCAGAGCAAGTTGGGCTTCTAGAATAAGATGGGAAGCCAGGAGGGTTTGAGAGTGGACCAGGTGTTTGGGGGTGGAGGAGGGAACCAGGAGCAGGGAGCTGCTAACTGTAACCATTCAAGTGAGAGAGAATAGTGGTGGGACCAGTGCAATTGATAAAACTGTGCAAGGCAGAGCCAAAAGGACATGCTCACTTGACAATGACTAACACAGGGCAAGCCACAAGAGAAATGCGGAAGTCAGGGGAAAAGATGAACGCTAGAGTTTGGTTTGTGATGCCTAAATACCCAAATGAACAGCAGATGTATGTCTGAGGCCCTAAGACCAGTTGCTATTACCAAGCATAGATGGAAAAGAGACTGAGTCCTGGGGCTCTTCAACATTAAGAGAATGATGGAAAGAGGATGTGAGGAGGAGGGGTGCCTGGGTGGCACAGTCGGTTAAGCATCTGACTCTTGGTTTTGGATCAGGTCCTGAGATTGAGCCCTGCGTTGGGCTCCATGCTCAGCATGGAGTCTACTTAAGATTCTCTCTCCCTCTGCACCCGCCACGGCTCGCTCGCTCTCTCTCCAGTAAATAAATCTTTAATTTAAAAAGAGGATGTGAGGAGGAACCACAAAGTTAGAAGCTACAGGAGCGGTAAGAAAAGCACAAGACTGTGGAATCTTTGGAAGTAAAACGAATAAGCATTTCCACAGAAAAATGAAGAATAAACTATCAATTGTTACCCATCAAGGAAGGGCTGAGAAATGGCCAAAGGATTCAGGTCTTCACTTGGGAGTTTTATAACAAAGCAAACAGTGCCTGAAAAACTT